CCCCCCCCCCCCCCCCCCCCGTCGGGGCATAATCAAAAGCCAAGTTAAAACAAGCTTAAATGGCCCAGATGAAAATTAAGTTTCTCAGGATTAGAATCAAAATCCTTATTTGATCGTTAATTTTTGAATATGCTCCTTTTAATATTTTCTACATAAAGATTATCAGTGTGTAACAGAATGCAAGTTCTACAATGATCTCTTCAGAAATGTTGGCTTTCACTTTTTAACTCACATTGAATTATTTCCTGTAAAATTCATTTTTTAGGCTATTTAAAGTATACACACACGCACACAGTTTTTTTTGGTCTTTTTTGAGACAGGGTCTCCCTGTAGCCCCAGCTATCCTGGAACTCACCATGTAGACCAGGCTGGCCTTGAACTCACAGGGCTCCGCCTGCCTCTGCCTCCCGAAACACTAGGTAGAGCCTGTAACCACATACATGCACGCACACACTCACTCACTCACTCAGATAATGGAGTAATGAAAATAGACATTTTACTTCATTATGAACATTCACTTAAGTAGTTATACAATGCTTTCAGCATTGCCATGAATTAGAGACATTTACTACTGATCTCATATGATTAAAAATTTTACTTTTATTTATGTATGTATGTGTGTGTATGGGGGGGTGCGTGAAGACGTCAGAGGACACCTTGAAGGAGTCAGAAAAGCTCTCTCTTTCCATGTCTGTTTGGGGAATTGAACTCAGGTTATTAGGCTTGGTGGAAAGTGCCTTTATCTACTGAACCACCTTGCCTACCTCCACAAGACTGTATTTAATATTAGTTATTCAAAAATATTTTGTGCTAAACCAAAAGAAATAGGATTCAATTTTGAAAGGTCCATTAACAATTTGACAAGAAATACAGGTAGGCAAGATGATTCAGCAGGTGAAAGCATTTGTCACCAAACCTGAAGAGCTGAGTTCCATTCCCAGGACCCACATGGTGGAAAGAGAGAACTGGCTCTGTGGAGTTTGTGTGTTGTGGTACACTTGCAGACATAGACAGAGACACAGACACAAAACAAACACATGGAAAAAGAAACAAAGAAATACAAATAGCCTACAAATCTTTAAATACCACATCTAAAAAGGCCATAGAAAGAGATGAGAAAATATCTTAATACAATCCTTACTGAAATCGATGAGAAACCTGCCGTAGCCCTTACGTTGGTATTGGGGAAGAATCATTATACAGGAGACGTTGTATTTCTGCTGGCAGTGCTTTTCCTGGTGGAGAAAATAATGGGCAAGTTTTAGAACAATAGACTGAATAGCACTAATTATCAAGAAACAAACACTAAAAGCCAAAATCACAGTCGTGGTCCTTTAGGAATAGCAATGTACATTAAAAAGAAAACCCCACTGGGAGAAGGCAGGACAATGTTAGTCACTGCCATTAGACACAAAGCAAACACCCCAGGAAAGTAGTAACATAAAATGATGCCATCCAATACCACCTGCCAAACTATAGTGTCGGTGCCCAAGGTCAGCAGAAGACTCTGAGCCCAAATAATCTGTAGCACTGCTTCGGTGCAGCAATCTAGACATTTCCTGCTCTGGTGCCACAAAGAGCAGCCCTGCTCTGTATTGTGTTCTTAACTGTATACAAAATATTCCTCTACGTAGGATACAAATACTTGTTTATAAATTAGTTGATATATTTTAAATCATATTTAGCCAGTAAGGCAGTCCTTAAAGTACTCTTATAAAACTAGTATTTCCCAGTGACAGGCTTTGTACGTGGAAGTTTTTTTTTCTAAACTTAAAAAAAAAAATTTAATGAGAATTTCATACATGCATATAAGGTGTTTTGATCAAATCCATGCCCATTCCCTCCCTTCCAACTCCTCCCATATCTCCCCATCATTTTTTTCTGGCAACTAAGGCAGTCCTTAAAGTACTCTTATAAAACTAGTATTTCCCAGTGACAGGCTTTGTACGTGGAAGTTTTTTTTTCTAAACTTAAAAAAAAAAATTTAATGAGAATTTCATACATGCATATAAGGTGTTTTGATCAAATCCATGCCCATTCCCTCCCTTCCAACTCCTCCCATATCTCCCCATCATTTTTTTCTGGCAACTTCATTCTCATTCTCATT